ATATACTTTATTACTCCAAGGTTAAGACTATTTTGGGTTTTTCCCATTAAATAGGACATGCAAAAAAACTTATAACTTTGAAAGTAAGTTATAATGAATGATTGTGTGCTTTGAGGCTATAATGGTTCAAGATTGTTTATACTGGGGGATTAGCTTGGAAAAACCAACATTTGCAGGCTGCTGGATAACCTCATTTTGATACCAAATATAGTAAAAAAAATCCTACTAAGACTTATGCTTGTGTAAGAAAGTAAATCTTTGAAGGGATGTATCTGTCTGACATAGTCCTTCAGAAAGAGAAATGGAAAAAATTGTTCAATGAAACTAATAGTATTATCTAACTTTGAATCCAATTTTGGTAATAGAATAACCCTCTGTTTCAAGAATGAAGAACGCAGTGCACAATGCCAATGTCATGTCATGTTGTTGATAGGAATCGGAGACGGACAATTAAGAGAAATGGATTTAGGAATTGGTAATGTTCAGTAAGTGGTTGGCTTTGTTGACAGCGTGTTCTAGTTATTGAGAGGAGTTCAATAACTTCCTGCTTATTGGAGAATGAAATCAATCAATGAAAAGCATTTGTTTCCTATGCTATTATAAGCTGGTCATTTACCTGATTAAAGGTACACGGGACCAATTCATAGTGTTTACTAGTATTTGAAGAAGCAATCTTTGTGGTAAGATTTTAAGAGGCCATGTTAGGTCATTGGTGGGTCGATGACATAGTACTTATCTTATGTTTTCATTTTCTTTACCTATGGAATTTTGTATTACCTAACAGATAAGTAAGTATAAAGTTCACTGAAAGAATTGCATATCATCGGGACTGGTGCTTTATGCAGAAAAATTCTTGAAAAATATAAAGCTCCTGTTGTTTTTTTGCTTGGGAATACTAAGATAGTAAAGATACAGGATGAGGACACATCTGTGCTTGTGGAATAGACTAGAGGACTGTAAGTTGTAACAGCTTGGTTTTCAAGTATTTGGAATAAAGCTTAATATAGAGAGATAAAAAATCAGCAAGAAATTATTGATTCATGAAAGTAAATTTATGAGTTCATAACGGGTCAAGTGCATGATTATTCTTGAGTGCTAAAATTAGTTTTTAGTTTGATTTGACTTAAACAGTTTATTGTTTTATAAGAGGAGTATAAGGACTTAAGATTTTTGAGGCTTTGTGGACCAGACAATTGGTCAGGAATGATGGAAGATTGTAAGTTTTGTTTGTTAGGCATAACAGGTATAATGCAAAAAGTAAAGAGCTGTTGATTTTATATGAGCAAAAGTTACAGCTTTTTGTCTTGACTCACGAGTCACATACAGTGTGTGCATTTGGTTAACTTTTTGGTTAATATTTTGTTTAATGTTATTAATTTGAACATTTCAAACTGCAATCATGTTGTCTAATTGCAAGTACATTTGTATTATGAAATTGTATCGTGATACAACCAAGATAACATGGTAATAATATTATGATACATTTTCAGCTGCGATCCTCAACCCTTGCCAGGACTTTTATTTTCTTATGCATCTAAGGATTCTAAAACACAAGAATTTGACAAGTTGTAAGCAGGTTTAGTGTCCCTATAGCAGGTTTAGTGTCCCTATATAAAAGGTAAAGTTAACACATAAAAAAATCAAAGCTTCCTTTTTTGGAGGGGAATTTGTTACCTTAAGCCACAGTTCTTAAAGAGAGAAGAAAATAAATACAAAGGTTGAAAGCATATTAAATTACATAGGAAGGTCTTGAAGGAAAAATTTGATAGACAGAAAGGCTATTAATGTACAAGAGTTGTATTAAATGAAACATTCACTGGATGCAATAATTGTTACAGTATAGAGGGTATGGTATCTTATGTCATTTTAGGTATCAACTTCAACATTTCTTTGTAAACATGGTTTGAAATTACCAACTAATGAATGAATCTAAATCAAATCTGTGTAAAGTGATAAAATCTCCATCGGATTTATTTTGGTTGTATTCAATTAACTGTTTCCTTTAACAAGGTTTTTCTATTCAGTGTTAAATAAATGAGAGAGAAAAAAAAGGTGGAGAATTTATTTAGGTTTGGAAAGGGTTTACATAAAACCTAACACCACTCGATGAGCATCTAATGTAAGTCCAACTAGTTTTAACTACCATTTATTTACTGTTTTTAAAGAGCAATATTCTGACTTAAAACTAGTCTTCTGCTTTTCTTATATACTGAAATGTAAGTAAAAGAGATGTTATTATCAAACCACATTATTTGAGATAACATTTACTGAAGTCTTTAGATAATCTAACAGATTATCATGCATTCATAGGTTGACATTATATTGTTAAAAGTCAACAGTGACTTCAGCTTTCTGACCTCAAACTACAAGTGACTACATCTTGTTGACCACACTCTACACTGACTAAAGCTGTCTTACCACACTCTATAGTGACTACAATTGTCATTGTCTGACCTCATTCTACAGTGACTACAACTGTCTGACCATATTCTACAGTGACTACAACTGTCTGACCACATTCTATAGTGACTACAACTGTCTGTCCATATTTTACAGTGACTACAACTGTCTGACCTCATTCTACAGTGACTACAACTGTCTGACCACATTCTATAGTGACTACAACTGTCTGACCATATTCTACAGTGACTTCAGCTATCTTACCACACTCTACAGTGTCTACAATATTCTGACCACATTCTACAGTGACTTCAGCTATCTTACCACACTCTACAGTGACTAAAGCTGTCTTACCACACTCTACAGTGTCTACAATTGTCTGACCACATACTACAGTGACTACAGCTATCTTACCACACTCTACAGTGACTAAAGTTGTCTTACCACACTCTTTATTGACTTCAATTGGCTGACTACATTCTACAGTGACTTCAGCTATCTTACCAATTTCTACAGTGTCTACAATTGTCTGACCTCATTCTACAGTGACTACAGCTATCTTACCACACTCTACAGTGACTAAAGCTGTCTTACCACACTCTTTATTGACTTCAATTGGCTGACTACATTCTACAGTGACTTCAGCTATCTTACCAATTTCTACAGTGTCTACAATTGTCTGACCTCATTCTACAGTGACTAAAGCTATCTTACCACACTCTACAGTGACTAAAGCTGTCTTACCACACTCTTTATTGACTTCAACTGGCTGACCACATTCTACATTGACTACAACTGTCTGACCATATTTTACAGTGACTACAAGTGGCTGACCACACTCTACAGTGACTACAATTGTCTGACCACACTCTTCAGTGACTACAGCTATCTTACCACACTCTACAGTGACTACAATTGTCTGACCACATTCTACAGTGACTACAGCTATCTTACCACACTCTACAGTGACTACAATTGTCTGACCACACTCTACAGTGACTACAGCTATCTTACCACACCCTACAGTGACTACAACTGTCTGACCACATTCTACAGTGACTACAACTGTCTGACAACACTCTACAGTGACTACAGCTATCTTACCACACTCTACAGTGACTACAATTGTCTGACCACACTCTACAGTGACTACAGCTATCTTACCACACTCTACAGTGACTACAAATTGTCTGACCACACTCTACAGTGACTACTGGTGTCTGACCACACTCTACAGTGACAACAGGTGTCTGACCACACTCTATACAGTGACTTCAGCTGTCTGACCACACTTTTCAGTGACTACTGGTGTCTGACCATACTCTACAGTGACAACAAGTGTCTGACCATACTCTACAGTGACAACAGGTGTCTGACCATACTCTACAGTGACAACAGGTGTCTGACCACACTCTACAGTGACAACAGGTGTCTGACCATACTCTTGCCAGTTAATTTTAGTGTTTCAATTTTTGAAACTCTTCAACTCTTTTCAAAAAAGGACAAGTCTATAGGTATAGTAGATCTATTAAGTGACACAGCTGACTAGTTTGTTCATGTAAGAGTGGCTGTCCGAATACCTTATTTTATACTCTTCCTTGAAATCTAAATCACGAAGTCTGACTGATGATAGCTATAAATATACTATGATAGTAGATGCAAATTTGAGTGAATTTGTGAGGTAAATTATGATTTAATTTACATAAATTGGTATTCAAACTTGAATTGTAAAACTAGGTCATTGGTGTATTCATGATTCTCTCCTTCAAACTGTCAAGTGTGATTAGTTTTGATGAGAATTTCACTGACATACTCTTATTCATATAATGTAAATTAATGTGCCATGAAAAATATAATAATGTCAACCCTTTGAACTTCTCAAGTGGCTTACATGTCAAGGTTGAACAGGTCCGTGAAATTAAATGATGAAGTCAATCATTGGTTTTCAGAGTCATGGTCATTAATCTTAATTATCGTGCAGAGCGAAACTATCATTCTTTTTTTTCCCCTTTAGTATGATAATTATTTTATTTGGTTTGTATTTTTTTCTATTATTGATGTGTACTAAGTTGAAATAGAAAATGTTTAAATGGAAAATGCATCAGATATACAACACAAAACATGTTATACAGGATTGTTTTGCAACTCATAATTTCTTTTATAATTAATTATTTCTATTCAAGGTGTTACGTAACTTAATGTAGTTTTTAAATTTAAACAAAAAAGTCTTAATCTTATTTTGTTAAATTTTATATCAAATTCTTGAAAAAGAATAAATGTTGAAACTTCCTTTCCTGAGCTTTTATGACTTACCTTTGTTTCCTTTTACTGTATAAATCTTGGGTCTTTTATTGTTGGTTGCATGCTTCAACTTGATATTTAGTTTAGATATTTAGTAAAATCCCTTAAAAAACTTACTTTGTATTGACCCAGTGTGTATTCTATTGCACTTGTATATTTACTAACAATGATCCCAAATTCAAATGCTGTTAACAGGGTTAAGGAAGAGCTTGCACGGGCAAGGCCAAACCACAACATTACTATTAGCAAAATCATTTCAAAACAACATTCAATACTGAAGTTTATTTTTATGTTTTCAGATAAAAAGAAAAATGGTGACTTGAAGTCAAATTCAATGGGAAACAATAACAGCTCGGTGGTAGCTACTCCACCTCCTGAGAGAAAGTCAAAGTTTGCAGCAATAGGAAAAATATTTAAACCTTGGAAATGGAAGCGAAAAAAGAAGAGCGAGAAAATTGAGAAAACAGTTGTTGGTAAGTTAATAAGGGAAGTAAATCTGTAGGGGAATAGATCATTGTTGTAAGAATGTTTGCGAATGTTTTCTCCCTTGAATATATCTTGTAATCTATGAAATTCAGGCTTAAATCTAAAAAAAAAATATACAAACTATGTATGGGAAGCCACATTCCCTACTAAAGATCCAGTCAAGTTGGTCTTTTCTTAATAAAAAACTGTCATTTGTTTTCTTAATGACACTGTATATTAATATTGTGTCTACCTAAAGTGTGTAGAGTTTAAAACATAACATTTCTACCTTATGTGAAGTCAAAACATGTTAATAGAGACTGTGTAGCAATTAGAAACTTTTTCAAAAATCAAATTTTAGTAAAGTATATCTTTAATTAATTGATTAATGATATGAATGACACAGGTTATCCCACTTTTGTTGACAAATTACATCAGAAGTCCTCTATGCATTCTTTGCTTACATGTATTAAACTAGGCCTGTATTCATCATGTCTGGAAAAAAAAAACCCAATCCTTATCACTCTAAATATCTTAAATGGACTTGTCCATCTTTGAGGTTGGACAAAACCATTCAACATTAAAAGGGACAACTTGGGAAAATACATGTATGCAATGACTGAATTGTGGTTAGTGCAGACAGACACTGGTCGCATAGGTAGAGCCTGTAGCAGCCACCAGGCTAAGAGTTAATGACTGTTAAAATGTAAATTTTTTTCATATTGCTCTATTTTGTTGTATAATACACCAACTATTTTAAATTCATCTTCACCTCCTCTGGCCAAGTTAGCTGTGGCTGCATAATATCCAAACGATGATCTTGCATTTTATAGATGTTAAGAAGTAGAAGCTGAATTTGAAAAATTAACAGAAATTCTAAAACTAGACAAAGCCATATGCAAAATAATGTTTATTTGCATCTTTTAATGGAAGTGAGTTTGCATGAATTTGATATTGTTATATTAAACTTGATTTAAATTGGTTTCATAATGGTAAAACAAAGGGGATTTTTATATAGACAATTCATGTCTTTCTGTCGACGTGGAGAAGTGGTGTATGGGATTGCTCAAAAAGTACAAACCAATAATATTGTCTTATAAAACTTTAAACCGCAAAATAAGGAAATAAAATTAAAAACCAAATAGATACGAGTGTTAGTAAATCTATAGATAAGATATGTGCTGATAAGATAATGTTATATGCTGAGCAGTATTCCATGATATTTGAAAAATTATGCTTTTAGTTCTCCTAGAATATGTCATTACTCTTACCCAATCGATAGAGTATAAAATTACATGATATATTTTCTTTATAAAAATCAACATCTTTTAAGTCACTTAATGAATTGAATGATATGACAGTGTGGTCCTTTATTGTCTGCCAGTGATGATAGACCTATACCACTAGTATAAAGCCAAGCCAGTCTGCACTGGCTGTCTCTGCACACCCATGCAGTGGCTCAGCCGCTGCCTGCACACCCATGCAGATGCAGTGGCTGCCTGCACACCCATGCAGATGTAGTGGCTGCCTGCACACCCATGCAGTCAGTTGCTCAGCCCCTGTCTGCACACTAATGCAGTTACAGCGTCTTCCTGCACATTCATGCAGATGTAGTGGCTGTCTCTGCACAACCATGCAGTCAGACCAAGCTTTGAGTGAAGCCATCAGTTCATGTTCTGTACTGTTTACTTTTCAGTCACTTCATATTTTTCAAATTCTTAAAAAATGATTAATGGTTTAGACCATTTAGTCCATATTGAAAAATTTGTCCCTTTTGAAAGATTAACATTAATATGTTTTTCTAGCATGGTAATGATGAATGTTGAAATCCCTCAAATTATCATTGAAATGTCAGGATAAATCTGTTAAACACAATCTTTTCTTTTAATATTAGTGTAAGGTTAAAATAAGAATTACCTTCAAGTTAGTTCAGACATTCAGTTTGTATCATCTTTAAAAAGGGAAACTTGATGCTATTTTTCTACTTACTTATCTCCCTTTTTTCTTACCAAAATAATGGTCGTCAGCATATGATTATACTCTTAGCAATTATTATTGGTACACAGATGAAACATAATAAAATATAGGTCCAGTCCAAATTTGGCTTAAGACAAGTTAATTTTCAAATCCTTTAGATGGCAAGTAGGTTTTATGAATCACCTGTGATAGTTCTAGTTTATGCAGCCTTAATATTGAAATTATATTTAGAAATATTGTATTTGGTCATCATTATTTAGTAATTTAGATTTATTCTGGGAAGGAAGGTTGGTGGGTGTTGTGTTAGCATGTAATATAAGCATAGGGCAGGCAGGAACTGGTACAAATTTCATACATTACCAAATATGGTATATTTTCTTGTATTGTCAAAGTAAAGCCTCATGTACCTTAATAAGGAATACTAGGCAATGGCAAGATTTTACCTTTTGCAGCAAATACTATTATTTCATATTCTGGTTTCTGTGTAGGAGTGATATTTCTGCTAATATAATTAACATTAATGTTAACTAACATTGAATTCTCTTAACTTTCCCTAATAAGGTCTTATATGGAAAATAGTTATGAAACAGTTAACTTGAATAGCCATTTGACATTTACTGCGGTAAAAGAGATGATTGAATATTTTGCTTATGTCATTGTTCTAGCTCCGTGTCCCCCTGGGGGTGACAGTATTTAGTTATCATTAAGTCATTCTTCCGATACCTCCATCTTTTTACAGGATTTTCTCCGAACATAATTATTTAATTATTTTTGTATGATGGGGATAGTTTTGTTATAGCCTTATTTGAAACTGCAAGACACAAACAACTTGATGTGATGTAACAAGTTATATTTTTCTAGCTATTCTTTTAGTTGCATAGAATCTTTTCCGCCATTAATCGCCTGATTTGAAATACTCATCTTTTGGAAATATGAAACCTCTTCATTCTGAATGAAACCATTTTTTACTGTTGAATAAATCACCCAATGTTCCGAGGAAAATCTCTAAAATAAAACAAGATTATGGTCAGTTTTGCAATGTCATCATTTTTTGCCAATTCAAACAAAAGCAAAGGATAACTGCAATATTATTCTGAGTTATTATTTAAATAGCATTCTGAGAAGATAAATTTTCATATATGTTTTGCTCGCAAATCAAGGAACATGTGGGGTTGAGGGAAGGCAAGGTTTGTTAGTTTAAGGAAGGTTGATAAATTTCCATTTGGTTGCTGAAATAATGTATGGAGGGACACTTCAGGTCTTACCTCCAGTATAGCTGGAAAGTCATCAAATTACCTTTATAGGGTAGGTTGCTCACTAAACCCAGTCAAAAAAAAGTTTGTTGTGTTTTTGGAAATATATTTGAGAATTAATGTCCTGTTGATATTTCAGAATTGGAGAGGAAGATATCAGTTCGCTCTACAAGGGAAGAGCTGATCAAGAAAGGTGTTATAAAAGAAAGGAAAGAAGATGCTATAGAGGAAGGGAATGAGAATGCAAGTGCGGAACCCGATTCTAGTCAAAGTCAGTCAACTACAGCAGTTACCATCACAGATACACAAGAACAAGATAGGGGTAAGTTAAATGTTACACTTCTATATTGCCAGGCTTGTTGCTACCAGATTTTGAGAGCAAAACAAACATCTGTTATGAAGTTCTCGTTCGAAACATCCATGGAGTATGACAAGGATTTATCCTATTAAATGCTCAGTATTGCCATAGTAATGATTGAAATTTGAATTGAAAGTAGTTCAGTTCCAACCGTCCTGGACATACATTAATTTATGCAAAATATATGGACATTCGAAACATTAATTTGTGCAAAATATATGGACTCTTGAAACATTAATTTTATGCAAAATATATGGACTCTCGAAACATTAATTTATGCAAAATATATGGACTCTCGAAACATTAATTTATGCAAAATATAAAGACTCTTGAAGGTCAAGAAATTTTGCTGTTAAAGGGACCTAAACATCCTTGACAAGAGCCTTTAGTTTTCAAGAATTCTTGAATAAAAATTAGTTAAGAAGAAGGCAGTGAAAGTTCATTTAAACTTAAAGTCTTGTGGGTTGTTCTGATATCTAGAGATGGAAAAAATATCGAAAATTTCAAGCATTTTTTTTTCCTTCATCATAATTACAATGTTATATACATGTTCATGATACCTGCTTACAGGTGCTTTTCAGCATGCATGTAAAAAGATACATACATTGTAAGGCTTTTGATTGTTTGAGAATCTTTGTATCTCACAAGAGGGTAGAAAACCTGAATTGTATTGATAGTTGTACCTGGAACCAGACATTCTGTTATGTACAAGTATAATTTAAGCCCTTTAAACTTGCTTTGATGTTCCAGGGAAACAGTTTGGATAGCATGAAAATCGAATATTTAGGGCAAAATCATAATAGAAATTTTATTGAACAGAAAAAAAGATGTACAACTATATCCCATAAAGGAATAATTATGTATTGTCTCTTTGGGAAGAGAATAATGTTTTTGACTTCCATCAATAAAAGATGCTCAGGTTATATGAGGAATGGTAGAGCCTTGACTTCATGATATTTAGAGTAAATGATCCCAGGTTGAATGCCTTAGTCAGATTACTGTGTTAAATTGTATAAAGTTATATAAAGAATAAATGGTACAAGTTTCTCCTGTGCTCTGCATTTAGCATTGTTATGTTTCCCTCCCTTAGTCTGACCAGGAGAGGTCCATTGCTTAAACCCATACAGGTTATAACAAATAAGCCTTTTGTCATATGACAGGTGAGGCATAAGTTTGGCTGACCTAGGCTGTCAGTGTAGAGCCAGGCAAGCCTACATAACCAGTCAGACTGAACACACTTCTTCATTCAGCATACTGCTCAGCTTTGACCTTTAACCTGCCTGGGTTATAGGTTTGTCCACAATTGAATTTGGAACAGTCCATTCCTAATGTAAGGGATTTTAGTATCAAAGTTCAAGCAGTATAGAGCCAGGACTACAAGACATGCAGACTGACCTCCCTCTATTCCTATTGGAAAGGCTAATTATTATTTTCGATTCCAATTAGTCTTTTGTTCAAACTATAATTTGAAAATGTCAATTCTAAATATTCAAAGTCGGGTTAGTCAGTTTACATAAAATCTAGAATTCATTGAAATCTTAAGTTTTCTTCCACTCTTGCTTTCCTTAGTTTTGTAAGTTATTGCAAACGTTACAAGTTGAAGATAATAATGGTAACAAATTGCATCTTACAAGATAGCTTGAAGATATAAGGTTGGTATAATTACTATGATTAGCTAATTTACCAGTATATTTAAGTTGTACAGAAAATGAGTTTCCAAGTTTCCCTCTGATCTTATCAATGGTACCTGCTTTCTGTGGAATGTTTTGATGTTTTTAAACTTGAATATAATGAAAATAGATAAAATTAAATATTGGAATCCGGATGCTGTTTGATATCTTGATAATAAGGTCATACATAGGTATGTACAGAAAAGGAAGGAAAAAATAGGCCATGGTTCAAACACCATATAGAATAAGTCTTTTGCTCTATATGGTGAAATGTAAAATTTTAAACTTGAATTATAAATTATTTTTAGGCTTTATATTACAAACTCATATTTAATAAAGATTTAGTAAGAAAATAAATTAAATAAAGATTATTTTTTATCTTGACATTTCAAGAAAAATTAACAGCTAGTTCATGGCGTTGGTCTCATCAACCATTCAACCATTCAAGATGATCACTTAAAATCTTCTCAAACTGTTTCACTGATCATATTTTCAGATCACTGACAAAAGTTTGTTACTCTAGTGTTGACTTTCACTGAAATATTGCCCCTTCAACATTATCCAGGGTCATGTTTGACCATCCAGCACTGAGAATACACTGAACTCTGATTAACTTGTAGGCTCATAGGTCTTGTTTTACTCTAATAACGACTGTTTTCTGCCTCTAGCATAGAGCCAGGTCAGCTTGCTTTACTTTACAATATACATTGTATGTCCAAAGTTTGTACTTATAACAACCCAATTTGATTGCTTTAATTATTAAATCCCTTAAATTTACAATGAATTGTTCCAAATTCAAAGGAAGAAGAGTCCATTGTACAAAGATCAGGAGAAACTGGACATGACAACCTTGTTAATAGTATGTTTAGGGAAATTAATCTTGATAAATAGGCTGTAATCTATATTTACCCCTCCCATTATTTAAATAAATCATAATCTTTTGACATCTGTTTTGTGGGAATGTCATGAATGTAATATAATGGAATGTGATTCATAACCCATGGGTTTTCAGAGAAGCTCTCGGATCATCAAACGTTTAAAATACCAGAAAAAAATAAAAATTACCGTTTTATTATCACCGGCTTCAGTGACCTGTAACATGCTATTTTTACCGCAATAGATGTACATATTACATTGTATTAAATTGTGTCTAGGTGTTGCCTGTAAAATACTATGTTTTACCTGTAGATTGCATTAATTTATCTTTTCCATGGGTTGTTTTTTTCTTTTTATGATATAGTAGAGGTGGAATGAATGAATTCACTGACTGTCGTAATTGTAGGGAAAAGCCAACAGGTGTCTGCTCCAATCTGAACCTATTTCCTTCAAATTTGTTAAACCCACCGAAAAAGCATGGAGCTTTTATGGATAATTGTGAATCGGTTTGGTTTATGGATTTCTTATAATTGATACAAATGAGGAAATTGTTTCAAGAAATTTGGATAACCATGATGTTTTTGGATATTTGGCTGCTCTAAATTTAAAAATGTAAAAAAATAGTTAACATAGAAATGTGGAGTAAAAACAAGAAACAAAATGGATTTAGGTTTAATTGCCTGTGCTGGCGAAAAGGTAAGAATGTTTGTGTGTTTAAAAAAAGAAGAAGAAAATTTGTTGTTTTTGGTAGGTTTAGAAAAACAGAATACATTTGAATATATGCAAAGATTTTCTCTAAGGGGATAAGTTTAATGTTATGGTTGGTTAACATCTTTTAGAAGAGAATTGAAAAGATGGATCTTCCCCCATGACTCTTATTTCACGAGCCAAGATGTATTCATATTACAATAGTTTTCATTCAGTAATGATGACCTACTGTATACATTAATTGTAGATTTAGCATGCAAAATCCCATTTAAGTAATGAATGTTGGTCGCTGTGAAACTGAATAAAATAGACTCTTGTTTGCCTAAATCTACACATTGCATGTAAAACGAATTTCATCAAGTAAAAAAAAAACAACACAGTTTTAAAATTTTGAGGTAAAAATTAGCTATAGCTTAAAAGCTTTTAGTTCAGAGTTTTACCCTGTGGTGATATAAAAGGCACTATTTATAAAAGAACTAGTATACAAGTTATCGCCTACGACCTTGGTATCTTGTATGTCATGTTAAATTCTTCATATGGAGGGCTGAATCTTCACTTTTCAGGCAACTTAGTAACTTGTCTATGCCACTAATGTTAAGCCAGGCTGGTTTGAACAGTTATGCAGTTGCAATTCCCACTGTTGCATAGATCTTTATATATTTAATAAAAAAAATTTGTAAAATCTATTAAATGGTAAAATTTTATTGCTGGTTGAAATTCAAAGGATTGTAAAGGAATGTCCCTGTTTTTTTAACACACATGAATATTGTATGTAAACAGAATACAGTGTTCAAAAACAATTTATTATGCTGCCATTTTAAGTGCGGGTTTAATATTTAGCAATGATTTTGTGCATGCCCTATTTGCTCATGAGAAAATTTACAAATTTAGCTGGGTGGAAGTTAAGCTTTGCTTTATAGTGAAGTGTTTGACTAATGGTCTAGTCTAAGAAAACAGCAAAGTTATTTTAATATTATGATTAATAATCCCAAACAAGCTGGACTCCTTCACTGGAATTAACATTATCAACATTTCGCTGGAAAATTCTGAGATTTTGAGGAGTTCTGGCATTTGTTACCAATAAACAAAGTTGCTCTCTGTACCTGAGGTTAGTTATAAATGTTGCACAATGGTGTGTATTCGCCTTGGAAATCATATTTTTCTGGCATAATACATTTCAGAGGATCAGAAAAAGCTATTAACATTATAAACCTATTTTCTTAAAGAGATCTACAGGGAGACAACTGCCCTCAAAAGATTGTGTGAACAGTGCATCACTGTGTAAGATGAATAGTAATATTCATATTTTATTGCTCCATTTCAAAGTTTCCTGAGATAGGGTAGTATGTGTACTATAATTATAAAGTCTTTGGAAACAACTTGGCTCTTAGGTTCATGGTCTTTTTAGGGGAAAAAATCATAACCTTAATTCCCAGTCTTGGTGCCTGTGAGATTGACTTATAAGTGCAGGGATGCAAAGTTTAAATTATGTTACATAAATTAAAAATATTGAGCTTTGGCGTAATCACTTATGTTAAAGTTTTTGTAACACCTCAAATATTTTCAAAGTCCATTGACATATGGTCACTTGTTCACCATTATGACCCCAACCTGTAGACAAAAGGAGGTAACTCTATCAAGCATTTTGACAGAATTATGCCCCTTTTTCGACCTAGACAGGTTAACTCCTTACGTAATTTAATAGGTAGG